TCCATTTTCAATTGTAGCTAAATAATATATAAAGACATTGTGAATTGACTTGATCATAAATTATTCACAAACACTGAGATAATCAATCTACACTAGCTTGCACTTAGTTTGTTAGTACCAATGAGGTAAGTCCTATACATACTGTAATGTCTTGCCTCATGGGTACTGACAAACCAAGTGCAGAAAATGTGAATTTAAGCCCACCCATTATTCATCTTAAAAAGCAGTACACTTACCATATCCTAGTAGTCACTGAAGTTGGATCCACAGGACTCCTAAAACCCTGAACTGAAGGAAAAAAGTAGCAATTATGTAACGTTTATTTTTGTAAGTAGTCTTGAAGATGTAAGGCTGGCCTTATGAATGCATAACAAAAGATTGTATTTATCCTTTAGCATATTTAATCACCAGAAGAATTTGACCCATTAAGAGAGAAGAAAACTCCATATTTAATATAGTTTAATCCTTTGCTTCACTGCATTTTTCCTTTGTGGGACTTGGCAATTGACTTGCCAGTGAGTTTGATGGCGTGTCTGTCAGACGAATGGGATAAACATGCGTCATCGCCCATGGCTTTGACAAGCAGAGCAGTGGACTTGGACACATAGGCTTAGTAATCCATTTAACCCAAACAGAGCTGGATCTGTGCAGAGGATAGGACAAAAATATTCCCTACTCATACCCATGATTAGAAGTGTCCTGATGTCTTAGGGGTCAGAGATGTGAGTGTAGTCCCATTTGAGACTCATCTCCTGCTTTAATGACCCATTGAGCAGGTCAGTCTGTGCCATAATGAGGCTGACAGGAGAAAGAGCATATATGTCTCTGTCTCTGTCCATCTAACTCATACTTCTGCGCTTCCTACAGCTAATGATGCAATCTGGCCCTCCTTCAGCAATAATAGGGTTCCTCTAAAACCTCCAGACTGGAAGGACTCAAGTCAAGATCATACCAGCAAGATGGGTACCTCAGACAAGGTGAGATTAAACAGTCTCCTTAGTGCTTAAGCAAAAGTGTTCTTATGAAAGACATCTTTGAGTCTTGTTCAGGCTTAACTCATGGTTTTGTCTCTTTACAGGAAGCCCCTAAGCTGTTAGGGACAGTAACAGCATTGTCTAAGCAGCCTCCACCCATCTATGGAACTTATCCCAGTGCAGGCCATCACTCCACAGTCTGTGCCACCAGCTCGTTGCCTCGCTCTGCTCCTGGCACCTTAGGCTGGCAGAGAGCACCCCCTGCCTCTGGTTCCTCTTCACAGCAGATCCAGCAGCGGATAACAGTGCCTCCCAGTCCTACACCACACTCCGGGTCAGCCCTGTTCCCTCAGGGTCAGAGGACAGAGCCTCCTCTTGCTGTGGCAGTACGTCCCTTTATTCCGGACAGGGGGTCCCGGCCCCAGTCTCCAAGGAAGGGCCCTGCCACTATGAACTCCAGCTCAATCTACAATATGTACCTGCAGCAGCCTACAGCCAAAAACTACTCCATCAGCAGCAGAGCTGCAGTTAAAGCAGGTAAGAAGTTGTTGCATTGGTTCCAGACATAGGTATAGCTTTGATTATGTATTTTCTCTTCTTTTAAATTTTGTTTTTCTTCATTGGCCTCCAGTATATGGAAAACCGGTCCTACCGGGCTCCACCTCTCCTTCTCCAGTTCCACTCTACCAGCACTCCTCCACAGATGAGGTTGACAGAGAGGCAGCCCAAGAAAGCACTCTCTTACCTCCACCCAGTGTGGAGAACATCCCTCGCCCTCTCAGTCCTACTAAACTGACCCCTGTGGCCCACTCCCCTCTCCGTTACCAAAGTGACATTGACCTGGAGGTGCTGAGAAGGAAATTAACCAATGCTCCCCGACCTTTAAAGAAGCGAAGCTCCATCACAGAACCAGAAGGACCCAGTGGACCTAACATACAGAAGCTCTTATATCAGCGATTCAACACCCTTGCAGGAGGAATTGAGAATGGAGTGGGTGGTACACCCTTCTACCATCCTGACAGTCCTCTGAACTACATAGCCACAACCCTGGGCGATGTGGACACTGCCAATGGGAACCTGATGGAATCAAGCATCTTAGCTAAACCTTCAGCAGAGCCAGAAATCCCAATCCCTCCTCCCACCTCTTCCGTGTCACCAACAGCTGATGATAATGAGAACCAGCTGACACATCTATCTAGTGACTCAGGGGGTGCCCAGTCTGCTGATGCCTCAGACCATTCTCTTAAGGACACCAATGAGGACAATCATAACAACAACCACACAAATGTTACAGACACACAACCTAGCCCAGTACCAGAACCTCATTTCCCTGCAGAGCAGAACACCACAGCACACCCAGGCACTCCTCCTGGTGTATCTACAGTGAGTTGGCACTAGCTTTTTGGCCATGGTTGTCTAACCCTTTATTCTGAAAAAAATCTTTACAAGCAAAATTCATATAAAGAGTCCTTTATATTTATATAAAGGGTCCTTTAACCCTAACCTTGGTAACATCTAGACAGTACGGTTTGCTTATCTCTGCATAGGAATGTATTCATTTTTTGACTTTTTTGCTCAAAATATATGTTTTTCTTCAAAATATGAAGGATAATAGAATTTTTCACATTACAGCTCAAGCGCACCAACTTGAAGAAGCCCGGCTCTGAGAGGACAGGTCATGGCTTGAGGGTCAAGTTCAATCCTCTTGCACTGCTTTTGGATGCATCTTTGGAGGGCGAGTTTGATTTGGTGCAAAGGATTATTTATGAGGTACAATTCAGCTGCTGTACGCCCCTTACACTTACTTTGTATGCTTGAACTGGACTCAGTAGTTTTTCCTCCTCAACTTGTGTCTCCATCCTCAGGTGGACAATCCTAGTACTCCAAATGATGAAGGTATCACGCCTCTCCATAATGCAGTATGTGCAGGTCACCACCATATTGTGAAATTCCTGCTGGATTTTGGGGTCAATGTCAACGCAGCAGATAGTGATGGATGGTGAGGACTATCAATTTTGTCTGATGGTTTATCTCTTCACGTTGGTCTGCATTAGGGAATAACACCAATCGCAGTTCGCAGTTGCTAACTCTTTCTCACTTGTGATCAGGACGCCCCTGCACTGTGCAGCGTCATGCAACAATGTTCATCTTTGCAAGTTGCTGGTGGAATCTGGAGCTGCCATTTTTGCCACTACTATCAGTGATGTGGAGACGGCAGCAGACAAGTGCGAAGAGATGGAGGAGGGTTATGTCCAGTGCTCTCAGTTTTTATATGGTAATATCAGCAGCAATCACTGGTGTTGTTATTTTTTATTGTTAAGGGTGTGTTTCTAGAATAATGGCTGTAAATGATTCTGAAAGCCTACTCTTCTTTGTTTCCCTTCCAGGTGTGCAGGAGAAACTGGGTATAATGAATAAAGGGACGGTATATGCCCTGTGGAACTATGAAGCTCAGAGTGCAGATGAGCTGTCCTTCCATGAGGGCGATGCTCTCACCATCATGAGCCGTAGGGATGACAGCGAGACAGAGTGGTGGTGGGCCAGACTTAATGACAAGGAGGGCTACGCACCACGCAACTTGTTAGGGGTAGGATATCTGTATAGGCACATTTATTTTTAGACGGCACTGTTGTGCATTAAAATATTTTGTTAAAATTTAAGTCGTAAAGTGAGAAAAAAAAACAACCTGTAAATCTGTAATCTGTTGTCATTGTAGCTGTACCCAAGGATCAAACCCAGGCAACGTTCCCTGGCATAGGTGTCCAGAAGAGACAGTGCAAGCTCCTATAACAGCACTTGGCATGAAGCTGCGGGATGGCGCTCTGCCCTGTCTTTGCCGTCACCACAACACAGAGCCCACAGGGGTGGCAAGATGATGGAGCACGTCTGGTGTCGGACAAGATGGATTTACCCAACAGTGGGGAATTCAGTGGTCTTCTGTTTGCATCCCAGATTTTATTCGTCACTATGATGTGTTGTTTTTGCAGTGTCCCTCTTACCCATATCTCTGTTGAGGAACATGTTAGCTTTTCTATCCTCATCCACAGTGCAAACCTCCTGAGTATGTGTGTGTGAGTGTTTCAGTGTGGGATGTGACTGTCAGAATGGGACGTGGATGTGATAATAAGAGTTGGTGACAGAGAATGCAGTCTTTGATTCCAGTGTTTCGTGCTCTGTGGTTTTTATCAGGCAAAAAAGGAAACCGAAGGAACTGATGTTTCATTTCCCACGGTTAGGAAGTTGCTGATTCAGGGGAAAGGAAGGAAGGTGCTGGAAAGTGTTTAGAAGAGGCCTTGAGGCTGGTCAAGCTATGGATAATAAGGAAGTGGCCTGGTCTGGAAACATGTATATGTTTATGTGTGGAGGATTATGTGGCTTGAGGAGGTGAAGTCGTCTATGAGGAACTGAGTTTTAAAAGGATGCGGAAAAACTGATGCCATTAAAATGAATGCAGTGGCTGTTTTCCACCAAACGGGGGATATTGACAACATATCACAAACCTATATTCCTATGCTTAATTTAAGTCAGGCTTTATTTTTTTTTATGCTACATGAACTTTTCCCTCTTTAAGGGATGTTTATTTAATTGAAATAAAATAAATAAATTCTTTAAACAGCTTGATATAGGCTTATATGGCTGTCAAAACTGGCAGGATCTACCTAGTGTTTGTGCTGCCATACAAGAGCCATTTATGCAACATGTCATGTATATGTGGACAATAAAATTTCCACATTGGGACAAAGTCACATGTTGTATTGACTGCATTTTTCACATTCTGTGTTCTGTACAGGAATATGCTGTGTACTGCACAGATTAAAAATTCATATGGACAAATATCAATAAATACAACACTGATGCCCTGTTGTGAAGTTCGTTACATGATATTACTTGTGTTTTAATGTGTACTGTATTACTGAACTTGTTTTATTTTTGCTTAATTTTAACTTGAAAATAAATGCTTATCATAACCTTCGAAGTAAAAAAAAAAATAGCAAGCTGTTAGCAAGTAGTTGTGTAGGTTTACAAAAATGTCCATATGGTATTTAATATAAGTTTTAGCCTGTCTTTTATTTATAAGTTTCTCACTTTCAGGATATCATTGCGCACTTTGTTTCATGAATGAGTAACTTGCCCTAGTTTAACCTACATTACATAATTTTGCAAGCTGTCATGTATTATCTAACGGTCTTGGACATTAGTTCATTAGTGCTTGGTTATTGTCATTAAATGAACTTTGAACGTCCAGGCAATAGCCTACTCGTTTAAGAGAGTCATATAACACCGCAACGCAATAGGTGAGTAGACTATGAAACGGCTTTGTCTGTATATTTTATGTTTTAACTGAATGATTGCCTAAGACAAAAGAAAACCTGAGGTAACCTATTTTAAAACGCGGGAACCTATCCAAAACTTGTAATTGTTTGTGCGCTTAGTGCATTACCTACTGTGACCATATTGTTGTCCACATTTCCTTATCAACTGCATGCATTTCAGAAAATTTTGAGAAAAATGTCAAAGCAAAATGAATTTCATGTCGTCACCCCACTTCTCGAGAGCACGGGCATGTCTAAGCGGATCGGGACCACCGTGTATCTGAAGATGGAGAGCTCACAACCCACCGGTTCCTTCAAAATCCGTGGAATAGGATACATGTGTCAAAATGTGAGGAAATATACGGCTGCGTTTCTTAAAATGAATGAAGAACCATACTTATTTTTTTTTACTAAACATAGCTCCTAAAGGTTGTAACGCTTTAAGTTGCATTTCAAAAGTACCATGGATTGTATATTGTATCAATTATTAAATCAAGTTTTAACAAAACAAACGTCCAGTACAGTATATTGTGCGTTCGCCCTGCCATCTAGCGCTCATTAAAGGAACGATTGTATATTTCACATTCAAATTTATTTTTATTCCTTTATAAGGTTGCAAATTCAAACAAGTCAAAAGGTGTCATCTGTTCTTCAGGTGAGTGAAATGGTAAACATTTAATTGTATTTCCATTAAATGTTTCTTAAGTACAGGCTCTTTTGACCATAGGGCCCTTTAGACAAATCTAAAATGCAATTTTCACACTCTCACCAGTTTAACATGGACATATCAAATTATTCATTGTGTTTAACAGCATTCTGGGATTAAAATCACATTTCTTTCTCACTGTCTTTGTGTGTATAGGTGGTAATGCTGGTATGGCCACAGCATATGCAGCAAGAAAGCTCAACCTGCCAGCCACCATTGTTTTGCCCTCATCGACTCCTCAACTGGTAGCTCAGAAACTTAAGGACCAGGGCGCTACGGTCAAAGTTGTGGGCAAGGCAAGAGCAAAGTACCACCAAAGTTATCCTAAATGCCTTTATTCTAGATATGACGCAGTTACGTAATCTTATCTGGGTCTAAATCATATACATGACAGGTCTTTATCTGATATTGTAGGTATGGGATGATGCAAATGCTGAGGCCCTACGTTTGGCTGAAAGTGAAGGTCTTACTGTAATACACCCGTTCAATCATCCTCTAGTCTGGTGAGTTTGTAGATATAGCACCTTAAAGCTGTACGACCTTAAATTTCTTTCATGGTTTTGGACTTCACAAGAATGAAAAGCTGTTCAAATCTTTTAGGAAAGGTCATTCCAGTATTGTGCATGAACTCAAGGCCTCATTGCCATCCAAACCTGGAGCTATAGTGGTGTCCGTTGGGGGTGGAGGTCTGTTTTGTGGGATAATAGAAGGTCTGGATGAGGTGGGCTGGGGAGATGCGCCTGTCCTGTGTATGGAGACTGTGGGTGCCGACTGTCTCAATGTTGCTTGGAAAGCCAGAGATCTGGTTACACTGCCTGACATTACAAGGTACGAATGAAGAAATCATCTTGAATCCATGAACAATTGGCACTAAGTGTTTGAATGTTTCTGCATATTTCCGCTTGCTAGTGAAGCAACATGTTTGGGAGCAAAAACAGCATGCCAGCAAGCGTTTGAGTACAGCAAACGGCCCAATGTCATTTCAGAGGTGGTGACAGATCTTCAGGCCCTGGAGGCAGTGGAACTGTTCCTGGGTAAGTTCATCACTGTGATTAAGGCAATCAAACAGCTCAATAACAACAAAGCTTGCTTTGCAGTTGATCGCTGTGTACTGTATTCAGATGAGGAGCGTGTTTTGGTGGAGTTGGCCTGCGGAGCGTCATTGGCTGCAGTGTACAGCGGTGTCATCCAGAGGCTACAGGAAGAGGGACGCCTTCCTAAACCACTCGACTCGCTGGTAATGATCGTGTGTGGAGGTGGCAGCGTGAACCTGGCTCAGCTGCAGCATCTACAGGCAGTCATACGGAAATGACCACATCTGTAGATTCTCACATCTGAGATAAATGGTCAAAGCATCTGCTTTGAGTTGCGCTGACATGTTGTGTTGCGTAAATCAAAAGATAATATGGATAATCTACTGTATTTTAAACAGCTGAGAGCAAACTTTCTATCAGAGAAGTCTGTTTTGAGCAAACATCCAGAACTAGTCAAAATCTTAAGATTTTCTGTAACACCTTGTTTTAGTGAAATGGTGTAATAAAATCATTTATCTCCTCAGAATCTTGTCACTTACCATCTGTAACCAGCAAGTGGTGCTAATGTCTGTCGTTTTGATATTGTGTTCACACTACAATAATTAGCCTAAACAATAAAGTATGACCAATGTTTTTTAGGACAGTAGTAACTTTAAAATTAAATTGTTAACTTGAATCAGCTGTATATATCTTTGCATGATAATTACATGGCTACATAATAAAATAGATTAATATAAAATAATACGTTTTATTATCTAAGACAGAGACATTAAACTATTACCTGTGTGTAAAAGTTAAAGTGACATGCAGAAAATAAATTTATCATGTTCGCTTGAAAACTTTCTTGTCAAAACACACGGTAGCAACAAACAGTACTGTAGCACAGCAGGTAGATGCATTTCCTTGTGCACATGCAAAGTCTTCATATTAATGAAACAGAATTAAAAAATAAATAAATAAGACAATTCTGACTTCTCTCATAATTAAGACTTTTTTTCTTGCAATTCTAAGCTGATATCTTACAATCTTTATACATAAACTCTGAATTGTGAAAAAAGTCTGAATTGTGAGATATTGCAAGAATTACAGAAAAAATAGTTGACGGAAACAAGCTTATCACAATTCTGTCTTTTTTTCTGGCATTTGCGAGTTCATATCTAATAATTCTGAGAAAAAAAGTGGAATTGCTAGACATAAACTTTCAATTCTGTGACAAAATGTCAGAATAATTGTGAGATACAAACTCAGAATTGTTAAATAAAAGTCTAAACTGTGAGATATAAACTCAAGAAAAGTCGCAAGAGAAAAGCAGAATTGTGAGATAAACAAAATGTATTATTATTTTTTTATTGATGCAAACAAGCTTGTCATAATTCTCTGGAAATTTTTCTGGCAATTGTGAGTTGTATCTCAATTCTGAGAAAAAAGTCGAATTGTGAGATACAAACTCACAATTGAGTCAGAATTGCGAGAAAAAGTCAGAAAGGCACAGTGAGACAAAAAGGCACAATTACCTTTTTTCGTGGCAGAAATAAGCTTCTATATCAGATTTTGGAACTGACGGAAAATTGCACATGCAACAGTGGAATGCAAACCGCCGGCTGTTGCTCAGGAGCCACTTTGTTTCCTAAGGCTGCTGTAAATGGACTTCATGATCCATGTTAATAGCGATGAAATTACCAAGTACTTTGTCATGTGATTGGAAAAAGGCAGGTAATTGTGTTAGAACAAAGACTGTGATTGTAGTAGCTACATTAAATGCTTTATGGTGCGCTGGGAACGCCGGGCAGCATACAAGATACTTTACTGTGGTTAAGATACTGTTCTGTTTCTGACATGAGCAACGTTCTTTTTGCATTGATTGATGCTTGTTTGAAATGACTGCTATATCGAATAGCTTGAATAAGAGAAACTTTTAGGGTACCAGCTCTTTGTGGGTATAAAAGTTTCTGCCAAGATTAAACAGACGTAAACGGCTTTGCGATGAGAGTGCGTTTAAGCTTCTCACAGTTCTCAGTCTTAAGGGTTAAATGCAGATCAAAGCTATGAGATTGATTTTGAGTCCCACAGAGGGCCCATAATCTACTCTACTTCTGGCTCCTTTCATCTGTACTCTTAAGGTTGATTTATGCATGTAAACCTAAGTTTTGATGTCAGATGGCATTTGTTCTTTCATGTCTCATTGTTAATGGCAAACTTGGTGTAACCTGTTTTGATCTATCTTATTTCAATGTGAACAGGCAAAGTTTTTTGAGCAAATAACGCTTGCACTCTTTGTCTGTTCTTAACATAATTGCTTTAGAAGACATAGAATATAGTGCACAAAATGTATAGATACTTTTATTGTGCTTTATATCATCTTTGGAGCTCAACAGCCAAAATATATCATGCACGCTTTCTACAAAAATATTAAGCAGCACAGCAGTGTTTTCAACACTGATAATAAAGTCGTCTTTCTTAAATGATTTCTGAAGGATCATGTGACACTGAAGACTGGAGTGATGGCTGCTCAAAATTCATCTGTGCCATAACAGGAATAAATTACATTTTAAAACACATTACAACAGAAAACAGTTATTTAAAATAATATTTTACAATATATTTTTACTGTATTTTTGTCAAATAAATGCAACCTTTGTGACCATAAGAGGTTTCTTTAAAAAATACACGGATCCAAAATGTCTCGATATAATTTTTTGTGATTTACAGGGATTTCGTAATGAATTATGCTCAGAATCAGTAACTACAGTGTTAGTTTAAGGGTCAAACAGGCGTTATATAGATAAGTAATGTAATCCAGACAGAATTTGTATTGAATCCTTCTGTCTTAAAGGGGTCATATGATGCTGCTAAAAAGAACATTATTTTGTGTATTTGGTGTAATGAATGAAAGAGCAGTTTGTTTTTGAGCTGCTTATAGAGAGCTCAGACTCGTTCCCATCAGTTTCTGTGCAAGTAAAGATATGCAGACCTGGGCTACTTAAATATTTACACACCTCTAATGCTCTCGGCCTAGTCCTTAGAAGTGCTGCCCTCTCTATACATTAAACAGACTGTCCTTCCAACCATGACGGCTCTAGTCTGGCGTACTGACTCTGAGCTGAAGTGAAAGGAACAACTTTGGCTTCTGAAAAGACATTTACTGACTGCCAAGACAATGAGGCACGATGAAAGCCAAGTTACGTGTCCTTAGTGAGTTTTTAGGACTAAAGATCTGTTGCCAAAATAGCTGAAGGAGAGATTATGTACAGTTGTAGCAGGGAGTGGAGACCGAAACAGTATGACACTTTTGTTTAAATAAAAATAGAAATAAAAGATGTGGAAAGTTTGCCTAGAGAAGTGAGAACAGAGGATTGTTGTGTTCTTACTCTGGTTGTCATAGTCAAAACATCATGATGACAATCTCGTTGTCTTCTGTCTTCCGTTTGTATTACCACAGGCACAGCATTATAATTAATGAACCAATCTTTTTAATATCTTGCCAGACTGCTGGTCTATTGACATTGGTTATGGCATCCACTTCGGACACTGCAGTGCTCATGATAACTTTTGTTAACTCTACAATAATTAAATCTACTTCACCAGCTAATTACTCTTTAACAGTGATGCTATAGCGACTGCAAAAACGGAAGTTCAAAGACAAAATTCTAAAGGTGGCTGCACACACGTTTCTCTCTATAGACTTTGCTAAACATGCTAACTGTGTTAAAAATATTTCTATGAAATATGGGATTTATGAAACGTACAAGTTAATACTCAATATTATTACAGTATTTACCCCCCCCCCCGATATAACAACAACAACAACAACAATAATACACAGTGTATACCAGTCACAAGGACATATAGTAATAATAATGATAATGAATAACAATAACAATAAGACAACACTATAATTAAAAAAATAATAATCAAGTATTGACTCTCATGTTCAGAGAGGAACTCTGGGGAGTCCTAATTTTTTTTTACTAACATTGATTCGTGGAAACAAATTAGAGGAGGCAGTATTTCTGCTATTGTACTGTAGTTTTGGGGAATTAAAATATGATCATGGATTAGTGTGGCCCCATGGTCCAATCTCCATCACCAGCTGCTGCCATGTCTGTAATTCCACCAGACAGCCCACCATGTACAATCATTCTCATAATCCTCTGTAAGTCTGTCTGTGGCCTGCTTTTGCCTAAATAAATCCTATGAATCTCTTCCCTCAATTGCTTTTAAGTGCAATGAGTACTACATTGAGCCTCACGTGATGTATACAAAGAATTTTGGGAAAGTCTGTTAATGGAACATCAGTGTTCAATTGTTATTTCATGCATAAAAAAATGAATATTCTTCATTTGTATTGTTTTATGTGTTATGACGTTTACATCTTGACTCATTGCACACCATGCTTCTGATCATTGCATCAGAATTTACATCTTAATGTATAAATAGTTTTCTTGGTTTGTTTGGTATGCTTTTTCAAGAATGCATATATTTTAATCCAAAACTGTAATAAAGAAAGAAAGAAAGAAAGAAAAAGAAATTGGAGTGATGTATTCCAGCCCTATATAATAATGCAAATTGGTCTAAAATGTAAGATTTGCTTGATAATTAGTGTTCATTATGTTAATGGTCACATAATTGTGTGCTCCTGTGAACTAATTTCGTGTTTATCTACTCAAATCAACCACTGAGAGGACTTCCAGGTGTTCATATTAGAACAGAAATGATTGTAGTAATTCAATGTTACAGAATGGAAAATAATTTAAGATTTGAGTAAGTTACTCATTGATCTTTTAAAGGGGTCATATGATGCTATTTAAATTTTTCCTTTCTCTTATCTGCCGGCCTCTGCTCACTCAAGCCGGCCACCGCTCACTCTAGCCACCGGCCTCCACTCACTCTAGCCCGCCGTGTGAAACTACTTTGTTTGGCCTTCCAAAAGAGGACACGACTAGAAATCAGTGGTTAAGTTGTATTTACAACACTGTTCCAGAACAATATTCATTTGTGTGCAGCACATTTTATGGAGACTGTTTCCTGATCCTGGAAGAGTAGACTACAATGCCGGCTGTTCTGACTGTAGCGAATCAGCTCATTCACGTTTTCATATTTAAAGAATTTGCCACTGACGATTCAAAAGCGAGTTTTGTCATATGACACCTTTAATCTTTTAGTTTACAATTAAAATAATAATAATAATAATTTACAGCCTGTCTATTTTTATCTATGTATGGGAATTGCATGTCAATAAATATTGTTTTCATTGTGGTTTAAATGTCCAAACAGCTCACATCCTCGTTTTCTAACTACATTTCCCATACAAACATACGCCCCAACGTTTGCGCATGCGCACTGACGTTAAGCCCTCAAGCCTAAAAGGGATGACGTCACCTGCCTGTCGGATCGTGCTGTATTGTTGCACAGGGGAATGAGAGCGCACGAGCCCTGAGCGTTCGCGGGGAGGATGGGACTGTTTACAAGGTAACTTCTCAATCTCAGACCTCAAACTGACAGCTACATGACACGTCCAGAAAAACAAATAGTATAAATACTTATTTTGAAGTGATTTGGCTTTAAAGGGTGGGACATAGAGATGCATGCAAAATCGGCGGTTCAGTGGGCGAATGACTCTCGTCTAATTTATAAAACAAATGAAATACATTTGTTTTTATTTTCGATACGTTTGTTTGTATTGAAACCCTGTCTGTTTGTGATTATTTCTTCACTTTGGTCTAGTTCACTTCAGAAACTGCACTTCATAGTGTTTTTCTTTAGTCTACTACCAACTCATGACAGTTTGATACAATGTTGCCATTTAAAACTCATTTACATGCTAGATTTACTTCAGTTTAAT